GATTTGACGAAATCAAAGATGGATGCGCATTGGGACATGACGTCAAACGAAGGACAATTTGTTCGATTGGCAATGACAATGTATGACTCGAATCTCACGTGTACATCAATTTCTTCATGTTATAACTGGTACAGAGCCAATCAAGTTAGTTTGACTTTGGACGAATTATTGTCACAAATATCGCTAACTGGAGCTCCACGTGATCAGCAGGATTTGAGCCCAACTTTTCAACGACAAACCGGTTCAAGAATCAAAATTCTAAATTTCTATACAGTTTAAAAAAGTGTCAATTTTTCACGTTATTCCAAAACTGTTACGCTTTGCGATGCTTCGAATCTGTATTTAATCTTAGTGTGAAAATTCGACTTCATTCTCCAGAGCCCTCAGTTAAACTATTCTACTGTTAGCTAAAAATTGTTTATTTTGACTTGGAATCTTATGTTTCTCTAGATGTGTACCCTGACGATACATTATCTTCCTTTCTCTCTCTCTGCGAACCACTATATCTCAAAGCCAGTGGCAAATTAGTTTAGCAGAAATGACACATTCTGTATCTGTAAAAAACATCAGCATGGGAAGATTTGGTTTCTACTCCAACAAAGACAGATGGCATTAGAATCGTGGAGAGCCTTATTTATCAAATGAATATGACAATTCAATTTAAAAAAGGCGTGGGCGCTGCAGCGGTAAAGAAAAAATGATCACATATCTCAAGCATGATACTGAACGGTCAGGAGTATGGAAAACTGATCACAAATTTTCATAAAAGCTCAAGTGATTTATCTTACGTTTTGGGCCTTAGGAATTCTATGAAAGAACAATTTATCCTGTTGATTTGGGTCGCTTTCATCAAGTGTTTGCTTAATGCGGTTTTATTGAGCCTCATTATGTTGGTAACACAAAAGCTCCTCTTCTATTGAGAAGTTTCCACTTAATTCACTCAAGGCAAAGAAAAGTATAAATAGCAGTTTACCTGTAATTCGAACTGATACTGGTAATTTGATACTGTTCGCGGGTGTAGGTGGGACGTTTGCATCCCTTTTTTGGAGAAAAAATTGCGATAATAATGGACGTTCGTTTAAAACTTTGAAAAATGTTTCACTTCACAGATAAGCATTTCGTTTTTTTTCAGAACTGTCATTGACTCCACAACAAACAAGAGATAAATCAAAGGGGGGGGGGCAAAACTTAAGAAATCTAGTCTGTCTGAATCAGTTTAAGCAGCTTTGTTGACGTCTAGGCCAACTGCTTATGAAGATTTGACGAAATCAAAGATGGATGCGCATTGGGACATGACGTCAAACGAAGGACAATTTGTTCGATTGGCAATGACAATGTATGACTCGAATCTCACGTGTACATCAATTTCTTCATGTTATAACTGGTACAGAGCCAATCAAGTTAGTTTGACTTTGGACGAATTATTGTCACAAACATCGCTAACTGGAGCTCCACGTGATCAGCAGGATTTGAGCCCAACTTATCAACGTTTCCGCGAAGATTGGATCCGCTGATCTACATAGCGAAGAAAATTGTTCTGGTGGAGATGATCAAGCTGATAAGTTTATTGGATCGGAGCTTATTGGATCAGGAAGACATAGGATCGGAGCTCTTTGATGAGATATGGGCAACGGAGGTCAAGTTCAAAAAACCTCCGAAAACCCAAGATGTCGACATGCTCAAATAGTGTGAGACAGTGCATTCTTATAGAGCATGCTTCTGTGCGATTGCTTAAATAATTAACATTGATATTCAAATCGTACTTTTTTCCTCTCTGCGCAACTATATTTTCAGTAAATCTAGGACAAATTTAACGAAACTAATTGTGAATATAATTATCACTTCACTTCGAAACTGAACAAGGAATCTACCAGTCGTCAGGGGAAATTTAACGCTAATATTGTCGCTCCAACCAACAGTAATGACAGCGCCAGTGGGTCATCTGTCGTTTTTGAAGGTGTTCAAGACAAAAGTGGAACAACTATGTCGAGCAGCGGATCCGAAGTAGTTTACTTGATGTCAATTGATAAAGAATAAAAAATTCTGTGAGCTTATACTGTTTTTTTTTACAGTTTGAAAACAAATATTTGAGTTTGTAAACGTTTGGAGACACTTGGCGACAAGTTTTTTGTAAATACCGTTTCGCAATTTTAAAAAGTGCTTTAGTTACTACTTTGGATCCTTCTATAATGGACTGTACATTCTTTGTTTGTAGTTGAGAGTTATAAGTAAGAGACGGCCTTTCATAACAAAACATTTTAGACTTCAGCTTCATATGCTCAAAGTTTAGTTTGTGATCAGTAGGTTGAATTATTAAGGTTCGTTTTTTTTCTTTTGACCAATGAGAAACTACAAGCTTTCTTTAAAATAGTACGCTACGCACAATATGAGAATCGAGCCAAAGACAACATTAAATAGTGTCAAAGTTTTACATGCTGGGCCAAGCGAACTATTTGTCAAATTTGAAGTTCATAGTGAAGAAATAAGTTCATGAAGTTTGAAGAAATAGTGCTTCCATTATTCACCGCAAAACCAGACCCAGTTGAGGGTTGAAAACTGCTGGCTTTTGTGATGAAGATCTTGGAGCGGCGAAGTTAGTAGTGGACATTTTGATGGTTAACTGCTGAGCCCAATAGTACGGAACTGAAAAATAATTGCAGGTTATAAACTGTCGGAAGATTATTTAAAAAATTCAATTTTACTTTATGGACAATTTTCATCTGAGGGGTCATGCATCCGATGCTGCATTTTTTGACATTGCTGGCAAGTGAGCTAATTGGCTGTTTTATAATCAGATTTATTTATTTCCGGTTAGTACCAAATTTTCATATTTGTTTCATATATTAGACAGACAAGATAACAAACGAGTAGACATGTCGATAAATTTGCTGTGTTTCAATTTTCAACATACCGAGTAAGAATATTGTTGTCTCGGATAAATGTTACATAGCTTTCGGAGTTTAAATGTACTAGTCGTGTAGGAGTAGAAAGTCGGTCTATCGACATGCGTATTCTTCTGGCAGCAAAAATGAGTAAACATTTTTTGGTTTGATCTATCAAAAGGTTTCAAAAAAAATTAATTTAGTTGTTTTTTTTTTTGTGCTGAAAAAAAGGTCATCACAGAGATTTAGAAAACGTAAGAAAGTTAAGAGAAAATATTCGGTAGAAGTTCTCCAGAACATTTTCTTCTAACTTTCTTACATTTTTAAAAATCTTTATAATGACCTTTTTTTTCAGCACAATAAAAGCGAGTTTTTAAATTCTATTCCAAACCTTTTTGCTGGATCAAATTAAAAATGTACCACTCATTTTTGCGTTCCTTTTTTTTTGTTTAAATTTCTCAATTATTTAAAATTAGTTCCCACTTCTGATCCGGAACTGAGAATCATGTTAATTTAAAAAGTTGTTCATCGTTTCAGGCCAAAATCAAGCTGGCTTGATTTATCATTGATGTTAAACATAAGTTAGTGATGAGAGTAAGGTAATTATTCATGTGATTTATGTAGCATAAAATTGTGAAGCAAAAAATAATCAATAAAAACAAGACTGCTCGTATCAGGGCGAAGCCCTGAATGTTCCGACTGCCTTATAAGGTTTATGGAGCAGCAGTAATAACATAAAAAATTAAATGAAATAAAATAAAATTAAAATTTTTTTTTCTCCAAATTTTGAAATTTTTTATGAAAATCATCCCCCCACACGCCATATAAAGTACAAAAAGATAGATTTCGTTCCTTGTAACAAATCAATTATGGCAAATAAGCTTCGTTCAACCAATTTGGAACGATTTATAAGACGGATTAAATCTCCGCTTACGCGTTAATAGCGCGAATTATATCGCGCGTTAATTGTCCCAAATGACAATCTATAAACCCCCATAAATTACAAAAATGATCACAGGTAAAATATCTTTTCAAAATTGAGCTCAGGACAACAATACTTTTCGAATGATATAAAATTCCGTCAAAAATGGCTAGTTAAAAAGTCGAAATTTGTCTGAAGAAAAAAAGACCACCCCGAGCACAAATATTCCGTTACTTTTGTATCGAAAGTCGGAACAATGACATTTTCAAATTCAATTGCTGCTATATTTTCGTCCGCAATAATTTCATATTTCTCAAAATGTATCTTTGTTACGTAAAACAGACTGGAGGCTCATCGGTGGAAGAAAGTCAAGAAAAGTTTCACCAAAAATTATTCGAGAATAGTGTGTCGGTAACCTTCGATTTAGCCCCAATACAGGATTTTTGTGTTTGTATATGATGCGTGGCAGGGAAAAGTTAGTCAGTCAATCCTTTGGCTTCTACTGCTCTGATTATTGAACCCTTTGAACTCTACTCGGATCTACTTAACAATCCCCCCCTATGGTACCTACTTAAGAATCTCCACCCCTATAAATAAATACAGTAAATTAGCACTGAGCTTTCTATTAAGAATTATACTTTTGCTGCATTCTGATTGGTTGAAAAATCGACTATTTTGACCTACTTAACAATCTCCCCCCTTTCTTGAAAGGGGTGGAGATTGTTAAGTAGATCCCTCTACTCAAATAATGGAAAATTTTAGAAAACTTTTTTTTTTACTAAACAGATACACTTCTTTTTGATCCGGACGGTGTTTTTGGCAATTACCACAGTGGTTTTTGATCTCCCAAAAAATTTGATGAAGATTTAAGGCTACAAAAAATGATAATCAAAAGTTCAATTTCAAAGATACATCAATAAAAGCAGACATAACTCTTCGCGACGAATAAGTTAATAGCAATTTGATTAATAAACAATTAAATATACGGCACATTCAGCTGATTGTAATTATAACCAATTAATACAATGGTATTTGATCAAACATGGCCGACAGTAATGTCGGAAAAGTTGAACTGAATATTGGGTAGCATTTTCTACAAAAAAAAATTATGGCAAAAATATTTCGTAGGTTGCCTGCAATCGTATGTTAAAACGGAAATATTTACTATAAAATTTTTTTTAAATTGGAAGCCAACTTTAAATTATCTGCATTTTCATCCTTTTTCAGTATTTTTAAATTCAGTTCAACTCAATAAAAATGTTTTTTTTTTTGTATCTGCTTCAAAATCTCGGCCCAAAAAAACTAGATTTGATACATAATGTTTGTATGGTAAACCATTATGCTTTTCGGGTTACGGAGATTTTGAAAGATAAATTTTTCTTTTCTCTGTCTTGTGGCAGCTACAAATTGAGTTGTCCTAATTTGAGTCCCGAGGTCTCTATGGGGAGGGAGAGTGCGGTAAAAGCGCCGAGAGAGGCGAGACCGACGAAGATGGTGGTTGCGAGACGAGAGGAGGTCTTCGATATAATCTCTGTCACTACTGGCACCAACAGCATGCCACTTCCGCCCACAAAACTACAGAAGCCGAGACCTAAAAACGACACTCAGCTTCTAATCAATCATATTAATCATTCTAATAAAAATTCACAATTATTATTATTAGTATTATTTTTATCATTATTATTATTATGATTATGATTATTATGATTAGTATTATGATTATCATTATTATTATGATTAATATTATGATTATTTTTTGATTATTATTATTTTTATTATTATTATTATTATTATGATTATTATCATTATTATTATGATTAATATTATGATTATTATTTTGATTATGATTATTATGATTTTTATTATGATTATTATCATGATTACTATGATTATTATGATTATTAGTATCATTATTATCATTATTAATATGATTAAAATTATGATTATTATTATGATTATGATTATGATTATTATGATTAATATCATTATTATTATGATTATTATGATTATTATTAGTATGATTATTATCATAAATATTATGATTATCATTATTATGATTAGTATTATTATGATCATCATTATTATGATTATTGTTATGATTAGTATTATGATTATCATTATTATGATTAGTATGATTATTATCATTATAATTATGATTATTATTATGATTATTATTATGATTATTATCATGATTATTATGATTATGATTATTTTGATTAGTATTATTATAGTTATTAGTATTATTATGATTATTATCATGATTATTATGATTATGATTATTTTGATTAGTATTATTATAGTTAGTATTGATTATTACTATTATAGTTATGATTATTATTATTATGATTTTTATTATGATTTTTATCATGATTATTATGTTTATTATGATTATCATGATTATTATGATTATCATTATTATTAGGATTATTATGATTGTCATTATTATGATTAGTATGATTATTATCATGATTATTATGATTAATGTTATTTTATTTATATTGATTATGATTATGATTATGATTATTATCATGATTAGGATGATTATTATGATTATTATTATGACTAGTATTATGACTATTATCATAATTATTATGATTATTATGATTATGATTAGTATTATTATGATCATTATGATTATGATTATGATTATGATTATTATTGTTAGTATTATTATGATGATTATTATTATGATTCTGATTATAATGATTATTTTTATGATTATTATGATTATTATTATGATTATGGTTATTATGGTTATTATTATCATTATGACTATTATGATAATGATGATTATTATGATTATTATGATTATAATGATTATGATTATTATTATGATTATTATTATGATTATTATGATTATTATTATAATCATTATGGTTATTATTATGATTATTCTTATTATGATTATGATTATCATTATTATGATTATGATTATTATTATGATTATTATGATTATTATCATAATTATTATGATTAATGTTATTTTTATGATTATGATTTTGATTATGATTATTATTATCATTATCATTATGATTATGATTATTATCTTGATTATTATTATTATCATGATTATTATGATTATTATTATGATTAGTATTATTATGATCATTATGATTATGATTATGTTTATGATTATTTTTATTAGTATTATTATGATCATTATTATCATGATTTTGATAATTATGATTATTATGATTTTTATTATGATTATGATTATTATGATTATTATGATTACTAATTTGATTATTATGATTATGATGATTATTATGATTATTATGATTATTATGATAAAGATTATTATGATTGTTATTATGCTTTTTATGATTATTATTATGATTATTATGATTATGATTATGATTATTGTGATTATGATTATGATTATTATGATTTTGATTATGATTGTGATTATTATGATTATGAGTATTATGATTATGATTATTATTATGATTATTATGATTATCATTATAATTATTATCATTATTATTATGATTATTATGATTATTATCATAATTATTATGATTAATGTTTTTTTTATGATTATGATTTTGATTATGATTATTATTATCATTATCATTATGATTATCATTATTATCTTGATTATTATGATTATCATGATTATTATGATTATTATTATGATTAGTATTATTATGATTATTATGATTATTATTATGATAATGATTATTATGATTATTATTATTACTAATTTGATTATTATTATGATGATTATTATGATTATTATGATTATTATGATAAAGATTATTATGATTGTTATTATAATTTTTATAATTATTATTATGAATATTATGATTATGATTATGATTATTGTGATTATGATTATGATTATTATGATTATGATTATGATTGTGATTATTATGATTATGATTATTATGATTATGATTATTATTATGATTATTATGATTATCATTATAATTATTATCATTATTTTTATGACTTTTATTATCATTATTACGATTATTATGTTTATGATTATGATTATTATGATTTTTATTATTATCATAATAACTCCACGAGAGACTGCTTTTAACGGATCTCTTTTATTATCTCGTAAAGGGAAAAGTGAAGTGAGGAGGGAGGATTGGTAACATTGTTTTTCCACTTTTTTGGCGAAAGTCCGAGGGGATCAACTCCTAAATCCTTGTCACATATCCCGATTGATCAGCCGAATATCAGGCTGAATAGTCTGTGTTGCATGTCACCTCGCAATTCGAAAAAAGTGACATTAAAGTAAAAAAAAACATTTGCCAATTCGTAAAACCTGAAATTCTAGAGGCATTTTGTATCGATACCAATTTCGGTTATCGTGGCGGTTTCGATGTCATATTACACGAATATAGAGTGTCTTTTCGGAAAAGAAGAAAATCGAATATTCGGCCAAATAGAATTGGTTCGTGTTACATATCTTTTACACGTACCTGTGGCCCGCATATTGGTCGGATAAATTTCGGCCCCGTACAAGACGATAGTGTTAAATGATGAGATGGCGAGTGCGCGCGCTATGAAGAAAGCGGCGTCGGTGACTGTCCTTCCGGGGCAGATGAAGAGAATGCTGTAGCCGATTGACATGCCCCCCAATACAGCTGCTAGACTGAGTCTCCTGCCGTACTTGTCCACTATGAAGTAGGTCACCACTAGACCGGGGAACTCGGCCAGAGTTGTCAAGAGTAAGTCTACGTAGTCGTGAGAGTGCAGTCGCTTGCACATCGATTTGCACCTATTAGCAACAATATTTAGGGCTTCTTCTTATAATATACTTACCGAACGTGGTGCATTTAGGAGTATAGCGGGGTCGGACGCCCCCCATTCAGGAGTTCGGCCCCTGACTACCAAAAGGTTCTCCCTTTGGTACTATTTTAAGACTTCTTTTTTTGGCTGTTTTTGTCAATACTTTTTTTGAGGGGCGACCGCCTTTTTTGGCCTGTATTTTTTTAACATCTCCCGTGAATTTGCCTGCTTTTCCAAAAACTCCTAAAAACGCATTTTTTGGACTTTTCTTAGTGATTTGGGAGGGCTCGGAAAATCAGTTTGGTCTAACTAAGAAAAAGTCTACAAAATTATCAAAACATTTTTTGAAATTCCGACCCCTCCCCTCGAGAAAATTCTAGATTTTGTGGACCTTTTCGTAGTTAGACCTGAGGGGTCGGATTTTCAAAAAATTTCAATAATATTGTGGACCTTTTCTTAGTTAGACCTGAGGGGTCGGATTTTCAAAAAACGTTCGATAATTTTGTGGACCTTTTCTTAGTTAGACCCGAGGAGTCGGATTTTCAAAAAATTTTTGATTATTTTGTGAACCTTTCCTTAGTTAGACCTGAGGGGTCGAATTTTCACAAAAACTTTCGATATTTTTGCTGACCTTTTCTTAGTTAGACCTGAGGCGTCGGATTTTCAAAAAACTTTCGATTATTTTGTGAACCTTTTATGAGTTAGAACAGGTCGGATCCTCCAAAAACTTTCGATAATTTTGTGGACCTTTTCTTAGTTGGACCTGAGGGGTCGGAATTTCAAAAAACATTTGATAATTTTGTGGACCTTTTCTAGTTGGACCTGAGGGGTCGGATTTTCAAAAATTTTTCGATAATTTTGTGGACCTTTTTGTAGTTCCTCAAAAAACTTTCGATAATTTTGTGGACCTTTTCTTAGTTGGACCTGAGGGGTCGGAATTTCAAACAACTTTTGATAATTTTGTGGACCTTTTCTAGTTGGACCTGAAGGGTCGGATTTTCAAAAAGCTTTCGATAATTTTGTTGACCTTTTCTTAGTTAGACCTGAGGGGTCGGATTTTCAAAAACTTTTCGATAATTTTGTGGACCTTTTCTTAATTAGACTTGAGGGGTCGGATTTTCAAAAAACTTTCGATATCTTGGTGGACTTTTTCTGAGATAGAACTGAGGGGTCGGATTTTCAATAACCTTCCGATAATTTTGTGGACCTTTTCGTAGTTAGACCTGAGGGGTCGGATTTTCAAAAAATTTCAATAATATTGTGGACCTTTTCTTAGTTAGACCTGAGGGGTCGGATTTTCAAAAAACGTTCGATAATTTTGTGGACCTTTTCTTAGTTAGACCTGAGGGGTCGGATTTTCAAAAACTTTTCGATAATTTTGTGGACCTTTTCTTAGTTAGACTTGAGGGGTCGGATTTTTAAAAAACTTTCGATATCTTGGTGGACTTTTTCTGAGATAGAACTGAGGGGTCGGATTTTCAATAACCTTCCGATAATTTTGTGGATCTTTTCGTAGTTAGACCTGAGGGGTCGGATTTTCAAAAAATTTCAATAATATTGTGGACCTTTTTTTAGTTAGACCTGAGGGGTCGGATTTTCAAAAAACGTTCGATAATTTTGTGGACCTTTTCTTAGTTAGTCCTGAGGGGTCGGATTTTCAAAAAACTTTCGATAATTTTGTGGACCTTTTCTTTGTTAGATCTGAGGGGTCGGATTTTCAAAAAACTTTCGATCATTTTGTGGACCTTTTTGTAGTTAGACCTGAGGGGTCGGATTTTCAAAAAACTTTCGAAAATTTTGTGGACCTTTTCTTAGTTAGACCTGAGGAGTCGGATTTTCAAAAAACTTTCGGTAATTTTGCGAGCTTTTTCTTAGTGCCTGAAATGGTTAAAAAACGACTGCAAATTCTTTAGACTGCATTTCGCGTAGGTGTATAACTTTGGTTTTCCTTCGCATTGGAATTGTAGAACTTCCAATGTTTCAATTGCGTTGGATTATTTAATTCATCAAGTTAGCAAGGGATGAACAGTCTCTGTGATTAAGAACTGAAATCTGAAATGAAAAAAAAAGGTAAGAAAATCAAAGAACCCGATTAGACAAAACATTGATCTTAACTTCTAAACTGAAGCTGAATTTCATCAAAGAAGACCATTATTGGGATTAAAGTCTTGTTAGATGCTTTGAGTTCACGCAGACCTCCCTCTTTCCTCCCCCTCTTCCTCAGGGGTTCGACCCTTCACCAAGCAAAGAAGCACTTTTGCTATTACTTTATGACATCTATTTTCGGCCGAGAGTCCTCAAATTTTTTCCAAAGGCGTTGTCGGCACCAATATATACCAACTTTGAAAGGGAGAGCGCGACAAAAAAACTTAATTTTATGGCATTTGTCCTGTTTTTTTTTTTAATTTGTCAAAATCGGTCTTTCTAGTGTTCTGTGAGCACTTGGAAAATCAATTTGGTAAACCTAAAAAAAGTGGACAAAATTTTTGAAACTTCAAATGTTGTTTTTAGGCCTAATTGTACGAACTCATAACTCAATGAAAATTAATTTGACCTTTCGTTGCCTAGAAGGTCCTTTTTATATTATTGAGAACAACCGTTTTGGAGCGCCGTTATGTGCTAACTATGAGGGGGAAGCGCGGACCAAAAAAAGGCAATTTTTTGGTCAAAATCTTCCAAAAAACGCCTAAAAAGTATTTTTTGCCTGTTATTTCCAATATTTGCCTGCGAGGAAAAATATGGTCAAAATAGGGTCCTAATCGTGTTTGGAAAGAGCGAGCTCGAAAACTCCACTTGGTCGATCTAAGAATGAGCAAAAAAATTTCAAAAAAATGAAAGTTTGCACCTTTCGAGAAAATCCTAGATCCACCCTGTTTTAAATACATATTTCAAAAGGTATCAACTTATCACTTTTACTTTTCTACCTTAGCTCTCGAATAGATTTTGCCTCAGTAATCTAAAAACTGTTCATGCGGAAATTGGCATGCAAAAAGAAGTTCAACAAATCTCTTCACTTAATCACACCATTTTAATAATTTTTAGGAATCGCAAGGCCAGCAAAATTTAGTCAGAGGTAAAGCTCTGCTACGCAAACACTTGCGAGATCACGACAAAAAACAACCTTACAAAGTACAACAAGAAGAAGCAAAAATAAGCCTCGAATTAGCGCAAACTTGGCATGGTCTAAGATTCGAACCTGCGACCTCAAGCTGAACAAACACACACTACCAGCACATCCATGGAAGCTTTTTAGTGAATTGAAGATAGAAGATTAAACATTGGCCACATATAAAGCAGATAACAGATGCTATCCTTTTTTGAAGGGTACAGTGAAATTTGCAAATAAGTGAACACTTTTAATAAACACCCGGGTTGAAGTCCTACCCTTAATTATCGCTTTTTCTTTAGTATCCCGCGCTTTCCAGCTTTGATTCATGTATAATTCCTAAATTCCCGAGTTATTGCATAGATAAACCTGCGATATTTCAGAGCTATTTCAGTAATGACTTCGTAAAAAGTAAGCGGAACCCGTACCCAGCGAAAGCTGTTTTCATAGATAGAAAAGTGATATAAATTACCTAGCCAAGTTTTTTGTTTTTTTTTCTACAGAAACAATTTATTTAATTTCTACTTTTGAAGTAAACAGTTTCTGGAAAAAAAATAACCAGAAATTAGTTCACTGCTCAAGTGCAACGAAAAATGCATGCTTCGAGTATACACAAAAACAACGCGAAGTAACACTTCTTATAACAAGTGTTGCTTTGAATTAGATTTTTAAAAGTGTCCTACATTATCAGGTCATGTGGACTAGCGGGTTGCACATTTGCCTATAAAATAGCAGGCCGAGAATTTGAGCACCAGCCGGAGACTTTTTCTTGCTAGAATTAGCCTAGATTTAGCTAACTTTTGATCAGAAATAAGTTGAGAAATAAAAATTTTTAAGAAAATCCTTGCTGTATTTAAACATTTCACAAAGAATTTCTGACCAGAAAATTAGATTATATATACAATATTCCAGTTCAGAAACAAAGAAATTACGGGTAAAACTTAAGAAATTTTAACTCATTCTTGTAGCTTTCAAATGAGAGTGCGGGGTTATAAGCACTTTAACTTGAGCCTATCTAAAGAGTGCTGGCGCAAAGGTAGAAAAGATGTCTGCAATGCTGATGGTTGTGGGATCAAACCTAGGTAGTTAAGTATTTCTGCTCATTTTGATAGGTTTTTATCGATGTTTCATTGCTGAAATTCTGCCGTATTGGCGACAATCTATCGATAAAATTTTCTATTGTGGCAACGAACATCGATAATTCATCAATAGCGATTGCTATTTTTTTTTCACTTTGTTATCGCGGCTCTTTTTCCTTTTCCCCCACCTGCAAATTCTTATAATAAAAATTATCGTTCACATTGTCCGATTATCATAAAAACTGACATGCAGACTAATTAGGCCATGACAAGCATATTTGGTTTTCATAATCAACCTTGTAAAACTACTCGTTAGACCAGACCGTGTGAGATGGGGGAAAAGGAAAAAAACCGTTATCGCTAATTTTCAATGTGAGCTAAACCCGGGTCATTTCATTTGCGAGTTAGATAAGAACAAAAGGTTCGTAATAACACACTAAGCTGACGGTAATGTAAATAAAAAGATTGCAACAGCAAAAAAAAACATATTAAATTTTCAAATTTGTTTGTTTCAAGAAAAATGAAGCTTAACAATCTTCGTGTTTTGGGTAAATAATAGGCCTCAGTAAATAATAAGCACTCAAATTACAAAAAAAAATTACTATTTTTGGTGGGGGGCGATAGCTTTTTGTTGCTCCTTAGCTGAGGGTTGGCTAAAAAGAGAAGAACTCGTTTTTCTACCTGTATACGCCTAGTGCACCCTGTAGATCGCAGAAGGAGCCCACATCCTGCTCCTGGAATATCTCTGTCGTTTGCAGGATAGTGCCATAGTAGCAGAATCTGACCACAAAAACTATCGTGCAGATACTCAGGGTCGTCTTCCTCCACGTGTAAGAGTTGATCAGACTTCTGAGACTACCTGAAAAAAACTTGTTCAACAATTGTGTTCACTTAATCACCCCATTTTATTACCTTTAAGAAAATTGACTTCGTCAAAAAAATAACAATTCAATTGATTTTTTGGATCTCTCTAACTATATCGCCCTCGGGTACCTAGTAAGGAATATCCCCCTATAAAGAAACAAATCAACGTTTAAGCATATGAGAATTCTTAACACTGTGAATTCTATGAGAATAATATGAGAACCCGTTGCCTAATCACGAATCCACCCTTTTGCAAAAGGTGGCATATAGTTAAGAGATCCGATTTTTTTCGTTTTTGTAATAAAATCTTGATCTTTATATATTTAAAGACACAACTCGGTATCAAAATTTTGATGAAAACCACCAATGATTATTTGCCGCTTGCGTTTTTTAGAGATAAATCATGCCAAATTTGAGCGGAGAGCTCCAAGGTTTTCCTTTCCATATCATATTAGAAAAGTATGAAAACACAACTCCCATTCTCATACGCTTCAATGCTTAGAAAAAACTTTTTCTGTAACAGTCATTCAATCTGTAAAAATTGTTCACATAGGCCTGAAAAGTGGCAATTTTTTTATATCATACTATTATTTACCTGGGGAAATTAAGAAGGTTATCCTTTTTTATTGATTTTTTATACGGTACAAAAAACAGCGAGTCTTTTAAAATTGACAGGAGGGTTTTACAACAGTAGTGCTTATCATTAAGCCAGACAAGAAAATGAAATAGACAACGCCTCAAAGAAAGAACCAAAACTTCACTCCTTTTTTGAAATTTTCTTCATTTCAATTTTTTTTGACCCAATTAGTGATAAAGGGAAACCATCCCGTCAATATTGAAAGATTGAATACTTTTCATTGTTCAATAGTTTTGCCTTTACCGCCCTAAGTTTAGGTACTAAAATGTTCCAAAGGTCCTCTTGGTACTATTTTACGACAGCCCTTTCTGGCCGACCAAACCTAAAACTTTTCTGAAGGTGCCTTCTGCGCCGTTAGTGTAAACTAAATTTGAGCAGAATCTTGTGCCAAAATTTTTTTTTAACCTTCCAAAGTGCAGCAGAGAAAATTTGGCCATTTTGGGTTTTCGACAGATCTTTAAAAAAACTATTCCAAATTACTGGCTTCAATAAAACCCCAATTACAAAAATCTTCGAAAGCTAAAATTATTTATATGAAAAACAGTTATATCATGATCTGACTAACGAAAGATTATAAACGGGTTGGTTCAACCTGTCAAGGTCTATGGTATCGAAGCAATGTCAAAAAAAATGTTTTAAAAGATTTCGTAATTTAATTTGTCTGCATGGCAAAAGATAGCAACAATTCTAAACGCATGTCATTCCAAATCAAGATATCGCGAAAATTTTCCGAAGCTCAAGAGAGAAAACTGCATGGCAGCAAACGCGTTTTTCTCCAATTGAATTAAGATTAGACAAAAAGTGAACAGAACGAAAATTGCTTAGAACTTCACCAAAATTAATATGGTGTAGTTCTTTCTCCAAAACTCTCAACCAAATTCTTACTCCAAAAATGGGTCATTTTGGCTTTTTTTAATTATTCAAGAATTACGCTGAAACGACTATGATTATAGATGAGAAAACTATATCACAAGAAGGCTATTACAGGGTGCTAAAAGTTGCTTAAAATTTGAGCAGAATTAATATGGTGCAAATTTTTCTCCAAAACTCTCAACCAGAAATTTAACCTCAAAAAGTGTCATTTTTGCTTTTTTAATTAATCAGGCATTAAGCTGAAACTACTTTTTTAATTGATGATAAATATAGATCACAAATGCCTTTTTATACAGCCAACCAAAAATCTAGAAGAGTCAAATGCCCAAAAACTTGTATTAGAAAAAAATTTACTATATAAAAACCAAAATCGTTTCTTAAAAACAAATTTTAAACAATTTGGTCAATTTTTTTTTAAAAAAACGATTCAACTAGAATTTTATTGAAATGTGTAAGACGCTTCTTGGGATATATATTCCTCCTCAACGAACAAAGTGGTTTTAGCATAATTCTTCATTATTTAGAAAAAAAAACTAAAGTGACCCATTTTTGAAGTAAAATTTTGGTTAAATTTTTTGGAGAAAAAAAGCATCATTTTTTGTTCTCTTGCTGTCTAACCTCAACTAAATTTGAGAAAAATGTAAATGAAAATTCAAATTTTGTTCCTTGTGTCCGGTTAATCTAAATCAGCGCTGTTATTTACTTGCATAAAACAGCAGCTGTAGCAGACTTTTTATTACTTTTTAATCTTGTTTTGCACTAAATTAACTAAGACTAAAGTCATAAGAGCCAACAAGACTGTTTGTATCAAAGCAAAATCCTGCGCATTTCGACAACTTTTAACGTCTTTATATTAGTGTGCGCTTAAAACAATTAAAAAAACTTTCAAACGAGATAAAAAAAATTTCAAAATTTGTCTGTAGCAAAATTTAATTGAAAGAAATATCATACCTTTACTCAGTTTCAAAATAATTCCTAAGACGGATTCAATCTTAGGCGTTGATAGCGCGCAACAAATTACGCGTTAATTGTCATAACGAGGCAAAAACTTGCACTGGCCTCTTAACTTTACAAAAAAAGATCCTTAGTGAAACATCTTTGAAGCTCAAGACATCAATAACTTTCGACTGATATCAAAAAAAATCCGTTAAAAAATTTTTTGGTAAGATTTTAAAAATTGTTTGGAGAAAAAGAATACCCGAGCACAAATATTTTGTCACTTTTTACGAACAATTACTTGTTCATCGCTAGTATACTCAATTGTCAACGCGACCAAAAAACCGTTCCAATGTAAATTAGTTTTCAAAAAAGTCTTCATACTTTCGGCAAAAAATTAGCACATTTTGGGCGAGGTGGTGGCTTATGTACAAACTTCAAATTTTTACTAGCTCTTTTTAAAGAATTTTTTAAAACTATCTGAGAGAAATCTTATGCTCTGAATTAAATTCAAAAATGAGAGGAAAGAATTTGACTTATGATTTAATCAATCAAATCGAGTCAAAACTATTCCACTGATGTGTTACCAAACTAAATACACCCATGCAGTTTTATATGTGGTGCGCTTTTTCACAATAATCAACAATTCTAACAATTTTTCTTCAAAACTCTCAACCAAAATTTAACCTCAAAAAGGGTTAATTTTGATTTTTTAAAATTAATCACGCATTACTCTGAAACTAGTTTTCTAATTGATAAGAATTATACGTCACAAAGAGCCTCATACACAGCCCACTAAAAATCTCTAGTCTTCTTACTTTTGACAAAAAATCTGTACATTTTGTGCAAGGTGGTGCGTTTTGTACAAATGTCAAACTGTTTTTGACGAATTTTTTTAAACTATCTGAGAGTGTTTTTACGCTATGAATTTAAGCATATCAGTAAGGGGAGGAAAAGAAATCAACCGAGAATCCCTTAGCAATGGCGAATGAACAGGGAAAAGTTCATCGGGAAGAGGAGTGGTAACACTCCTCGGTGTCCGGTATGGTTTGGAGTCAAATGTCCAAAAACTTGAATTAGAAAAAATTTTACTATATAAAAACCAAAATCGTTTCTTAAAAAGAAATTTTAAACAATTTGGTCAATTTTTTTAGAAAAACAATTCATCTAGAATTTTATTGAAATGTGTAAGACGCTTCTTGGGATATATATTCCTCCTCAACGGACAAAGTGGTTTTAGCATAATTCTTCATTGTTTAGAAAAAACTAAAGTGACCCGTTTTTGGAGAAAAATTTTGGTTAAATTTTTTGGAGAAAAAAAGCATCATTTTTTGTTCTCTTGCTGTCTAACCTCAACTAAATTTGAGAAAATTGTAACTGAAAACTCAAGATCTGTTCGTTGTGTCCGGTTAATCTAAATCAGCGCTGTTATTTACTTGCATAAAACAGCAGCTGTAGCAGACTTTTTATTACTTTTTAATCTTGTTTTGCACTAAATTAACTAAGACTAAAGTCATAAGAGCCAACAAGACTGTTTGTATCAAAGCAAAATCCTGCGCATTTCGACAACTTTTAACGTCTTTATATTAGTGTGCGCTTAAAACAATTAAAAAAACTTTCAAACGAGATAAAAAAATTTAAAATTTTGTCTGTAGCAAAATTTTAATTGAAAGAAATATCATACCTTTATTCAGTTTCAAAAAAATTCCTAACACGGATTCAATCTTAGGCGTTGATAGCGCGAAACAAATTACGCGTTAACTGTCATTACGAGGCAAAAATTTGCACTGGCCTCATAACTTTACAAAAAAAGATCCTTAGTGAAACATCTTTGAAGCTCAAGACATCAATAACTTTCGACTGGTATCAAAAAATTCCGTTAAAAAATTTTTTGGTAAGATTTCAAAATTTGTTTGGAGAAAAAGAATACCCGAGCACAAATATTTTGTCACTTTTTACGAACAATTACTTGTTCATCGCTAGTATACTCAATTGTCAACGCGACCAAAAAACCGTTCCAATGTAAATTAGTTTTCAAAATAGTCTTCATACTTTCGGCAAAAAATTAGCACATTTTGGGCGAGGTGGTGGCTTATGTACAAACTTCAAATTTTTACTAGCTCTTTTTAAAGAATTTTTTAAAACTATCTGAGAGAAATCTTATGCTTTGAATAAATTCAAAAATGAGAGGAAAGAATTTGACTTATGATTTAATCAATCAAATCGAGTCAAAATTATTCCACTAATGTGTTACCAAACTAAATACACCCATGCAGTTTTATATGTGGTGCGCTTTTTCACAATAATCAACTATTCTAACAATTTTTCTCCAAAACTCTCAACCAAAATTTAACCTCAAAAAGGGTGAATTTTTATTTTTTTTTTATTAATCACGCATTACTCTGAAACTAGTTTCCTAATTGATAAGAATTATACGTTACAAAGAGCCTCATACACAGCCCACTAAAAATTTCTAGTCTTCTTACTTTCGACGAAAAATCTGTACATTTTATCAGGGGCGGATCTAGGATTTTCTCGAGGGGGGGCGGATTTTCAAAAAATTTTCCAAAATTTTGACGACCTTTTTTTTTTTTAGGTCGACCAAATTGATTTTTCGAGCTCTCCCAAAGCACTGTTTTGGCCCTACTTTGGGCAATTTTTGAAAAATTTTGAGAAAAAAATCGCGTTTTTTTGGCGCGCGCTCCCCCTCAAAATTAGTATATATTGGCGCCAAAGGCGCCTTTAGAAAAATTTTAGGGTCGGTCGGCCAAAAATGGATTTCTGAAAAAGTATCAAAGGGGGGACCCTTTGGGTCGGCAGGGGGTCGAATCCCTGAGGGGGGGCGTCCGCCCCCCCCCCCCCCCCTAAATCCGCCCCTGCATTTTATGCAAGGTGGTGGTTTTTGTACAAATGTCAAACTGTTTTTGACGAATTTTTTAAAATTATCTGAGAGTGTTTTTACGCTTCGAGTTAAAAATCAAATAGGGGACGACAAAATTTGGCTCATGATTCAATCAATTAAATCGATGCAAGTTTAGTCCACTAATATGTTTGCAGTTTCTTATGGGGTGGGGGGGGGGGGGGCTTTTATAAAATAAACATCATTTCTTTCAATTGGATCTTTAATCTCAATTTCAAGGGGAAATTTCAAGTCTTTACTTAGCTTTTACATTTTATACATTATCAGAGATAGAATCCTTTTTACTTCAGTGGCACAAAAAAAAAGTGCACACCAAGTTTTCATGGAATTGAAAAAACCACCTGGCCCCGCCTCGCTTAGAAAAAAAGGAAATTGCCTCTTTTTTTTTCTTTTTCTCTCCAGCTTTATTCAGGCTGAAATTTTGCCTCTAAGGCGTGGAAGTGGAAAAAAGACGCCCCTAATTGGAAAATAATGAGACTCCTTGTCATCAGCGTGAATAAAATGATGCCTTGACCTGTAGTCAAAGTGACTGAAGATACGCCACATTTCTCCCCGAGATATACGTGAAAAACAAAAGAAAAAGTAGTTTAAATTATCTACCTTTTTTGGCAAAAGAAAGAATCATTTTGTGTACCGAAATGTGAAGAAAACGTGAAAAGATTTCAAATTTGCGTGGTGACGTCACGGGCATCTAGAGCAATGCACGATTCAACGATACACCTAGAGACTAAATCTGACCCAACTGATGGGTTTATACCTAATTTAAGGGCTATTTCCTATTTCTCTTTTTATCTCAATACGTTGCATTATATATTTGAGTTGAGCAAATATAAAGTCTCAAAAGATCAAAAGACCAAAATCACCCACAATTTTCAGATCTCAGTCTCAAAATCTCAAAAACACGACATCGTGTAATTCATCTTAAGTTCTAAACCGAAAAATATGTTCTCATTAAAAGCAATATTAAGTTTGTTCTTGAAGCTTAAGGTCATAAAAAAGTACAGGGTCTTTAAGACTAAAATCCACAAAGGAGGAAAACTTGATTATTTACTTGGGCAAAAATACTGAAAAATTGATACAAAAATTAGCATATAAAAATTTTTCTATTTTAAGTTCTTCCCATTTTTGATATCAGACAAGTCAAATGTTGACAATGTGAAAAGTCAAAACTCGAAAGTCGAAGAAAGAAACAATAAGAGCTAAGTCATACCTTTTCAATTTATGTATTCACCTATTTGAAAATTGATGGCTTATCAGAGTCAAAACTCTCTTTTTTCCCCTCTCTTTAATACTATAATTTATAATTATATAATAAATCTTTTCAAGCTGAATAAATCAATAAATTTTTCTGAAGTTATTGTTCCGACTTTTTTGTTTTTCATGTTTGAAATCTAAAAGTTACGCATCTAAAAGTTACGCATCTAGTTACGCATCTAGCCATCTAGACTTATCCGCTAGTCCTCTATCCGCTTTGAAAATTTAAGCTGACCCAAACAAAAAAATTTTTTCCACCAATGACATTCAAACTTTCATGTAAAAAAACAAGGACAAGTATTAATTTCTATGACTTCACAAAAGGCGCAGTAGGTTTTTGGTTTTCACCGGTGCCCTTTTAGAGTTCACGTGTCTAACAAATGTCTGTCCAACAGTTTTCTAAATCGTTGAAAAATCAACCTGTATTGGTTTTAAATCAGCTCACTTGCGTACAAAATAAGCAACAGTTATATAATGCATCAAGAAAATTTATACCGAGACAATCAGTTCTGCGATATAAACAAATTTCTAGATGCAATATAAGCTTTTGCTTATCTAATATGAAACAGCTATAAATTTGAACATATTCCCCAGTATTTCAAATTTTCACTAATGTTTCAATTATTGCTCTAATTTTCCTTACCTGGCGCTGAAACAAAACTGTACACTTTTGTTTCAGTGATTTTAAAAAACGTCCAGATACGTTTTTTAAATGAGAGTTGTTGTGTAAAAACAAGATCTAGGATAAGTCTTACAGAGAGATGAGTTTAATTGATTTTTTGATTTTCTGATGTCAGATTCGCAATCAGAACTGAACAACGCCCCAGGTTCAAATTAAGAAAAATTACTTTAAAAAATCACTCAGTGCCGGGGAAAACTCATCTGGCCAATTCTGCAGTCCAATTCAGTCCAAGAAAGTACTAAGACGTCACTTCCAAAATGACTCAACGGTTTTTAATTTTTTTCAGCCCTACTTGGTAACTCAGTTGGTTGATTACAATAACCTCAAAGCTACAAAAAAAACACGTCAGAAAAAATGAAGGCAAATTTTTTGAAGAAATCAATTTTTTTAGAGTTTTTTTCTACCGTTTCGATTTTGTCTTACTTGCACAGCAAATAAAGGTTTTTATAGTGTGTATAAATTTCAAATAATTCATTTGATTAATTTTTTTAAACTTGTTTTTCTGGGTAAATATGGCATATATATATTTAAGTTACAATTTCTAGCTAAGATTAAACTTATAAGAAAGTTCTCAGAGGCGCTTTAACATGTTTAAATACCTTCTGCGCTTGGCAAGAAGTTATTGTTCTTTGATCGATTTGTTTTACTACTATTAGACGGGGGTTAGGAAATTAGACGATAAGCAAATTAGACAGATCCAATGAAACGGAACTTAGACGTTAAACTTTGTTTGCAAAACTAGCATTTTATTCGAAAAGCAAAGCCTAAAAAAAATTATTACTTTAAACAATTTTTCATAATTACAAAAAGGCATATGATCCCATTGCATATCAAAATAATTATCGCAGTTGATTTATAAAACGTTAATCTCAATATTACAGAACGTTTTTGAAATGCATAATTTATACAATTGCGGTATCTGAAAATTGCGGAATGTGAAAAGTTTCTTTGCTTTTAAGAAAACTGGAACGAAAGTTAATTGTAGTCAGTAAACAAACTTCGGACACGAAAAATACAATTACGTCGAATTTCCAATATTTTATAATTTTGAATCGACGTCTAATTTCGTTTTTATTGGTCACGTTTAATTTGCTTTTCGTCTAATTTCCTAGGCCCCCTATTAGACTATTGAACAACGTGAAATAGGTAGGACGACAATTTGAAACAAGCGACAATTCGTTACAAGGCGTTGACAAGTAACATATGCTTGCTCCGGTGCGCTCCATTAAATCCGGCACGAGAGGAATACTGCGCACGAATCACTGTTCCCCGCCTAATCCACTGTTATGAATTGTCGCTTGTTACGAATTGTCGCCCGTTACAAGTTTCCGTCTCACACTCAATTTACTCTTAAGAGAGTACGCTTTGAATAAGCTTTGAAAACAGCAAACAGTATATCAAACCTTGTGATGAGACTTGATCAGCAGCTAAGTTCCCAACCGGACAATTTCTCTTGTTCTCATCTGCAAACTTCTTGAGCACTATCGACGCTTCAATCGGGTTACCACGAGTGATCGAAAACCTGGGCGACTCCGGTAGGTACTTGTAGCCCAGAAGTACGAATAAAAATAGGGGAATTGAACAGGATGCGACTAGACATCGCCACCCGGAGCTGTCAGTCATCTCTATGGCTCGCTCGCCCGTTCGACTGGACCCGAGGAAAATGAGAGCTACAAGGGAGGTCAAGGACGCGCCCCCTGCCCAGAAGAAGTTCATGATGCAGATGGCTGTCGACCTCATCTTAACTAAAGCAAACAAAAACTAATTATCAAAACGGTCGAAATACTTTCAAACGCATTTCTTTGAGTTTGATGCAGTTCGTTTGAAGCTTCTAACTATCAGCTTCTAAACTTTTTTAAAGATTTGAGAACAATGGTCATAGTTAGTGCAGGAAACTAATTTAATTTAATTTTAGCCATTTGAAAACTTTTATTTATCTAATGTTTTAACCAAATGTCACAACTTAAACTCTATTTAACAAATTATTTAATCTTAATGTTAGAGTTAACCTCAGCAAATCATAGCCTCCTATATGTTGTTTATGATAATCGGTTAGAAAATAGGACGCATATAATGTTCACCTGGAATGAACTCGGTGGAATAAACAGCTGCCAAACTGCTGGCTCCAGCTCCGAAGTTCATCAAGAACACATTGATCAACAGAAACACGTAGCGAGTAGAAAAAGCTGTGATCAAACAGAACACCGCCGACCACCCGACTGACAATAGCATTCCGAAGCGCCGCCCGAACCGATCGAACACGACTCCGAAGAACACACAGCCGAGCATGAGTCCGAGGAAGCCAGAGATAGCGATGGCGGCCTCGGCGTCGGCCGACAACTGCCACTTGCAGTAGATCTCGGGTCCGAGAACTCCGAGCACGTTCACCATCATGGACTCGGCCATCCAGGCCAAGCCGGCGAGAGCCACGATTTTAACCTGGAACACAATCAGTAGCGGATTTAGGGGGCGGGGGTGGGTTGGGCGGACGCCTTGCTTGCCGACCCCCGTTTGTACTGTTTTGAGATATCAATTTTTGGCTGACGGACCCTGAAATTTCTCTATTTTTTTGATGGAGAGCTGACCGGCATTTTTGACCTGTTTTTTTTCAAAAACTTGACAGCGGCACAGAAAGTTTTCCCGAGAAAATCGTAGATCCGCCCCTGAACACAATTAATATGAAAATGCGTACATTTTCCAACTTTTGTTTTTGGAAAAAAGCCTATCTTTAATACATGAACTTCTCTCAATTTTTTAGTACAACTTTGGATCATTTTCAATCCCGTTCACGGCACAAAAATGTTAGTTGGGTCTCTAAAATTTAGATGGTCTCATAAGCAGAAAATTTGAGCTTTAAATCTTCGGCAATACGTTCTGCAATTGTTCATTCTTGTGTTTTCGTGATTTTTATCTACCCTTTAATACCCTTCATAGAAAAATAGTAAAAGCTGAAAGTTAAATCTGATATTTAAGTTAAAATAACTCGGTAGAGCAATATAATTAATATTAATTAATAGAATTATAATACTATCCATAATTAAGTATCTCTCTAACTATCCCCCCCTTAAAAAGAAATAAATTAATGGTTAAGCATATGTGAACAGTAGCGGATTTAGGGGGGGGGGGTTAGGGGGCGGACGCCCTCTCTTCAGGGACTCGACCCCCTGCCGACCCAAAGAGTCATCCTTTGTACTATTTTGAGATATCAATTTTTGGCTGTTTGACCTTAAAAATTTTCTAAAGGTGCTTCGGCGCCAGTCTATACTAATTTTGAGGGGGGAGTGCGCGCCAAAAAAAGCAATTTTTTGGTCGATTTTTTCCAAAAAAAAGGCTAAAAACGCCTCTTTTTGGCCTTTTTTAAAAGTTTGCCTGCGACGCAGAAAGTTTTGTCAAATTAGGGTCTTTATAGTTTTATAGTGGTTTGGGAGAGCTCAGAAAATCAATTTGGTCGACCTAAAAAAAGTTCGATGAAATTTTCAAAAAAATTTTGAAAATCCGCCCCCTCCCTCCCCCCTCGAGAAATTCCTAGATCCGCGCCTGTATGTGAACATAGTACCTAGTAACGAATCTCCACGCCCTTTTGCCAAAAGGGGGGAAAGTTACAGAGGTCCATAGTTAAAGTTAACTAAAACGCATTCCTTGAACAGCTTAAATAAACTGTTTTTGCAAATGAAGCTGATTTTTATTGCAGTAAAACATGGAAATTGAGAATTGAGCACCTTAGAAATAAATCAGATTTCTGTAGATCGATTCAGAATTCAATATTGCCTTCCACTTTGTCATTTACTTCAAAGAGATTACATCTTCAAAGCCCTGACTAACTCTTTGGTCTTGATTAAAAATTTGATTCAATTTGAAGGAAAAACATCAGGCGCTTATTGAATCAAAGCTGAAGTTGCTCTTTTTTCCGCCACCATCATTGATTTTTCCAAGCACAATTTCTGTTCACCTAATGCGCTTGTGATTAACTTTAGAAATGACGTTTTCATACTTAACGGAGTCATAATCCTCAATATATATGGTTCCAATTGCTCCTTAGCATTATGCTCTTATCAAAACACAACTGCAGGTGGGCATCAAACGATGTTTCAATCAACAGTTCAATAAAAAAAGTGAAAATTGTCAAAGAATAGACTCTTTTGAACCAAAAAAAAACTGGGAAGCAATTTTTGATAGCGTCCATAAGTCAGGAGGCTTAATTTCAATGAGAAAAATCAAGGAAATGAAAAAGAGTCGCTTGAAAATACAGATGATACAAATTATACTAGCTATTCACCAGCTATAATAGGAAACCCCCCCCCCCCCTCTTTCGGTACTTTTTGCAAAGCTTCGATCAAATTTTTGGTCATCTAAAATTTGATATTCAATACACTTGAATAATACAAATATCCCGTGGGGATCTGTTTTGGGGCTTTTCTGTTGTATGACTCATATTTACCAAAATTGAAGTAATATTCTCTCTAAAATATTTTTCAGAATTTCTTTCATAATAACTCTTTTCAACCATTCATATCTAAGTATTATGAGCCACTTTTTAAAAGCCAAAAAGGCTGCTTTTGGGCCCTAAAACAAAAAAAAACAGAAAAAGAAAACTCTCCATATTTTTGCCACAAATATGATTGCCACCAACCTGGTACATTCCAAACCCCAGGTCCTCGACGACATCGTCTACTGTCAACGTCGGGATAGCGACTCCTGGACTGTAGTTATGAGTCTGCTGCATCGGAACTCCCCCTCCTACCCCCTCCCCTGCAATTCCATCTCCCCCCACTTGTCCATTGGCTATAGTGCTGTGATATAAAATGAAAATATTTGCATCCTGTTTTTTTTTCGACAAACATATATCAGAAAACAAACATGATCCTCCAGTTGTTTTACCAAACTGTTTCCCAATTTTTATTTTCAAATTATACATCAATTCTTAAGTTTACCGGGTTCAGATCATTGTTTTTATCTGTTTTTGCAAAATAAATAAAAAAAAGAACCGCGAGAAAAAAATTTTCAAAAAAAAGATCAAAATTTTTAAATGTTTTTAAGGATTTACCTACACGTTATAACAAAATTTGAAATCGATAATGGTTGGATCATCAGACCAAAAATATAGACTGAAAAATATATATTATAACAAATCATTTTCTGTCACATTTCCTATCAATCTAATATCATAAAGGAGGGGTCACCTGTAGTTCATGGGGGTCTGTTGGTTTGATCTCAGGAACCCCCCTCCAGGCATGGATAGCTGGGTTCCGTAGCCTCCTCCTCTTCCTACTCCCCCACTCGACTGATTTGATCCAGGGTGGTCGTGAAATTGATTTGAAGCTGGATTCGGAGCAGAGGCACTCCTGAAGTGAAGTTTTAAATAAGTTATTTTAAAAATGATGGTTATTGATAAATCGATGTTAGTAAATCGAATCGAGAGATAGTGTCAGAATTTGATAAGATATAAAAAAGCTCGGCTCAAGTCTTTCCAATTATCTCGCCGAGATATTATAAAATTAATTAAACAATTTTTAGCGAAAAAAAGCTACAGAGTACCTGGTGAAAGTAATATGCGTTTTCTGTTAATTTGCTTTTACTTCCTGAGAGAAAAAAATATTGACGTAATGAGCATCAGAAATAATAATCAATAAATTACAGACTTCATTCTTTTTTAATCTTCAAAATTATAGAAAAATAAAGCAGTATTGACAACATTCAAGACAAAATAATAGTTAAGAAATAATCACTTACGAATTTAAACACAAATGAGAACAAAAAGACTTTTTTTGTCAATTTAATCAAGACCATTCAATTTTTCAACAAGAATAACTACCACTTTATTCTGTCTTACAATATGAAAATAATATTTAACTTCCGTCTTTTTTTAGCGTTTTACCTTTTAACATTTTAAACTAAATGCATTCGTCTGAACTTATAACAAAATATAATAAAATTTTCAAAAGATGGGAAGAAAACAGAAATATATTTTTTTCCGAGCTGAACTGTTATCGTTTAATGGATCTAAAGTCTTTAATTAGAAATTTGGGCGGCTTAAAAGCTGCATTAGTATCGGAAATAATCGATACTCTTTCATAGCAAAAGATGAAATTTGGCCACACATTTAAAAAAAATCTAATTAAAAAAGCAGATAATGTTACGCAGCAATATTTCTCCCTCCCGAAAAAAAAACAAATTTCACAACAGTGAACCCGATAGCCGATTCCATTAATCAACTGTTGCTTTTTGAAAAATTTAGTTCGATGAAAAAAGAGGCTTAGCTTTCTTTTTAATCCTACATAATATAATGATGCTCGTATCCAGGACTGCGGAGCCGAGCAATACCCGATTATCTTAAGTCCTGTCTAAATTAACTATGCTCAAAAACTGATAACGTCATTACCAAAACTGCTTATATTAGGGCAAAACCCTGAATGTTCCGACATCGCTTTAAAGTCTGAATTTTAAGAATGAGAACAAAAAATAAAAAACCAATGACTAACATTTTACGCTAGGTTTGGTTCTGATATTGTGATATTGTATTGAAAAGCAAAACAAAACATAGCCAAATGACAGTTAGAAAAAAGTAATGAACGCAACGAAATTGAAAAAAAAACTGACTTGATTTTTGAAATATCTTCAACTTTTGAATTTCGAAGAAAATAGTAGACGGTTTTAAAGCTCCTCGAATTTGTAGAACAATTTTTGATTGAAACTTTTTTGACAAAACTAACCCAATTTGAGAAAACTAGATCAATACGTAAAGAAGATAATTCCCTGGAAAGTCTGATATTTAAATTTCACTTTCGAAACTAGAAGTCGATCACCTTTTTCATGGCCTTTACGTTTTTGCTGTTCTAAAGTGGAGGTTGCCTTCCTTTCAACAATGGAAATGCACTGAACTTCAAAAGAAATCACAAGACAAACCACGAAGCATCAAAATCAAGCTTGAACAAATCTTGGTACTTTTCCCTGAAAACAAAAAACAAAAAAAATAATTAAGACCTGTATAAGATTACTCACTTAGTTCATTACTCTTTAAAAAATATACTTTTGTTTTGAGTGAAAAGGTAAGTTCACCTAAGAAATGCTAACATTTGAATATGTGGTTCCATCAACCTTTATAAGTTTACAAAATGCAACAGAAGTCTCTAACGTTGAATGAAATTTTTTAAATTACTCACTGCCAATAAGGTGATCTCTTTGTTTAGATTAATGCTTAGTCGCCAACAATTAACAATTTAAAAAATTTAGGACGTGACCAATTTTTTTTTTCAAAAAGTGGTAATTTTTTTTTTATTTTTATTAATTAGTAACAATTACAGACGAGTAACGGCTGAAACTTTCAGCCAAATTTACGCGAAACGTCTAATTAAGATTTTTAGCATACCATGGCAGATAGTGAGTTTGCAAACTAGTACAAGTACAAAAGAATCAATTCCACGTTCAAGTAATAAGTAATTGCGTTAATTAATTCGAACTTATTCCGACCACTTCACAAAGTCAGCGGGTACATTTTTTTTTCAATTTCGGCTAAATCAAAACACAACTCGTAAAGATTCAAGTTTGGTGTCATATTGAAGCCTTTTGGTTGTGATTCAACTTTATAAAAAAGTTCATACAAGTTGTCTCGATGTCGAGTAAAAACTTGTACCAGTTTGACACCATTCAGTTTATAAATATAATCTTTAAAACCTAATTATTTCACTCTTTTACGGTTTCAATATTAAATTGTTTAAATCTTATTTCATAATTCAACACAAAATGAACAATGCATTGTAAAAAAAACAAACACCAAAAATATAGTCAAATTAACTTTGCTTCTACGGTATAAGTTAATAATGACCATCACGACTGCGCCAGCTCGTTGCAAGCTTGCCAACAGAGAGTAGGACTGCAAACAAAATTACAGCCCGTCATGGCCGTGTTCTTGTTAATTTATGTTTGTTAAAATTGAGACAATTTTTTTTAAATATGACGGCTGTATCTTACTTTGAGTAGTTGGTGGTGTTGCTGTTGTTGTCGCCGAGTGGTGGTCCGAAATCCTCTTCCTCCTGCTCCTGATAGAGCGGAGTCCTGTCTGAAGTTGTCGAGTCTGGATTTTGGAACTCCGAGTAGTTCACGCGGGACAGGCGGTTGAACAAATTCTTCGCCTGCTGCGCTGCCATTTTGCTCATAAACTGTTATTATTGCAGTTCCTACACAATAAATCTCATTTAAATTTGATAACAAAAACTATAATTTATTAAGCTGAAGCTCATTCAGCTCAGAAGATCAACATTTTGTTCAATTTTTTGAGACAATTTAAACCAAATTTAGTGCAATAGGTATAAATACAAAGATCAACGCCAAACAATACGGGCTAGGAAGTCAAATTAGGCCGGGCATTTTTTAAAAAATTGATTGAGTTCCCCAATTGGGTGCAATTCTATTCAATTCTCAAGAGTATAAATTTGAATTCGGAAAAAAAAATTCTTTTTCATTTGTTTTTCCATTGCGAAGAAACGTTTAATTCTGAACAGATTATATGAAGAGTAAGTTGACATTAAGAGAATATATGCGGAAATGCTACCGTTAATACCATTGTACTCTCAAAAGATAGGTAGTAGCTAGTTTGAAAGTAAACGCAATTAGAGGCAAAACAGACAAAAGTTGGCAACGATTATCCGATATTTTCAAGAGAATTTACTATATAGTTACAGAATTGGGAAAAAAAAAACAGAATATGACGTAAATCAGAAAAATTTAGATAAAAAGCTTATATGATGTCAATTGTTAAACGTAGATTCTATACTTGCACTGATTAGGTATTGTCTAGAATTTGGGCAGCCTTATTTTTTATTTGAAGTTTTTTGAGGGTTTTGACATTGCATTAGTATACCATGGATCTAGTTAATAATCTACGCCTCTAGCCTTGGTAAGATTTCCTTCTAAATAAACCTAATGCAGTCATTTTAAATAGTTGACACTTTTTAAACCCCCTGTTTCTGCATTGAGGATTATTAACTAGATCTTATGGTACTAATTTTATCAGTTTTTTAGAGAAATTCAACGCAAGGCTTTTTAAATTGGCATACCGGGGATAAAAAGCAGTGGAAAAATAGTCGCATTCAATTTAAATCAATCCGAGACGCAATTTTTACACAAGGATTTGAAATTCAGTCCGCTTCATAAAATGGTAAAGGGCGGTAATGAGTTTCGATTAAGGAAACAGGAAGGCTGAATTTGTTAAATGAGGAAAAAAATTAAAGCTCGGAAGAGAGTATATATACAATTTATGAAGACTATAAAATCTTGTTTGTGATAACACGTTTTTATTGTCCCGATTGTATGTATGCGAATATATACTTTTTTCTGATTTCAGATTTCAATCAAGTGTACAGTTTGTATAGTTGAAAAAAAAAACATTTTCTTTTTTCTTTCATTTATTCTCATGACAGAAAGCTCAAATGGCAGAAATGTCGAAATAAAACATTTTTTAAATTGTCAAAAAGTCTAAATGCATTGTCATGTTTTAATCCACGTTTTTAAACACTGAATTCTGATTGGTTATGCCATTCGGTCAATATAACGTTATGCCATTCAGTCATTCTGCCAAGAGGGACTGCCCCTTCTTCTAGCACAGCAGCACACGATGATGTGTTTGGTTGTACACGCACCAGGTAGTTCAAAATTGATTCAGATGATTTCCCTCCAAAAGAAGGCAGATTATCAAATATACGCAGTCGTGTGTTGTACTTGTGTGGGAAGGGCAATGGTCAAACGGGCACAAGGCAGACACAAAAAAGAGCAGATGTACTCTCAAATTAGATGTTTCTGTAAACCCGTAATTTGTGAAGCGGCTAAACTAGATGTTTCAGTTTTCTTCAATTTTTTCTGTTTTTTCAATTTTTTTCCAATTTGTTATTCAATCTCCGATTTTTAACTATTTTTCAAACATTTCCTAAAAATATTTTTAAAATTTAAACTGAAAACTACCTATCTGCCTAAAAGATTTTCAAAACACTTAAATTTAGGGAGATCTAAAAAGTTTTCTTCAAATTTCTAAACTAATACCAAAAATCAATGAACCAAAATGTCTACCTTTAATCTGTTGTCTCTTTATACCAATAAGCTCTTGTCTATAGGTAACTGTCTATAACCGAAGAAATGTCTGCTTTTTAACCTGTCTGCTCCTTAAATCATCTGCTCATAGAGACAGGTGGAAAAATAACTCAAGGTAGATAGCCACGGTGGAACTAATCCCCGAAATTAAGACCATAAGAAGTAGGAACTCATTATTAAAAATATGCCATACCATATGCTGTATAGTTATTTGAAATTATATGGCGTAAAACGGTATAAAGTGTCATTTCTTGTTAATGAAATGAAAATTGGAAAATTAACCCGAGAAACAAAATTTTTGTCTATAAAAACATGCATGAAAAATAATACCAACCTTTACACGCTCCTCAATACGGCAGCGCTCCTCAATTTTTTTGCTTCTTTATTGATTGATTTTCTTTTTTTTTCAGGCAAAAGGAAATTTGCAGTAAGAATGAATTTCTCGCAGCTCTTTTCCTTTAATCATTGATAATTTAAAAAGTTTTATGCATCAATTGAAGTTGCACACCAAATGCTGTTTGGTGAACTCAGGTATTCCCAGGTCATAAATTAGGAATGTTATAAAACTGAAATTAGGCGGCAGCGCTTCTAGATTCTTAAATAAATTATTTTAATGATAGTAATGAAAAACTACCTTAAGTGTACTATCGTTTCTTTTGCTGAATAACATTCTATTTTCATGTGATTGAAGCACCGTCAATTTTTTTAGTACTCTTAAAAAATTTAATACATCTAACCATAAGGCAATGAAATTTTTTTAAATTAAAAGCTGAGGATATCGAGATTGATAGCTGTAACGTGGAAATAAAAAACGTTTAATCTTCTGACCACGCATCTATATTCAGGCATACTATAGCAGCTGAAATCCGGTTTAGCAAATAGATGATTGATTAGATCGAAATACCTAAAAACTGAATTTAACAAAGATTTTGCTGGTTGCTGTGCAAGTAGCACAGAAGGTTTGAATCGCTATGAAGAAAATCAAACAAATTAAACAATTTAAAAAAAAGATCGAAAATTGATGGAAATTTTTTTACAATATTTTTTCTTGTTTTTTTCTTGCAATTTTCTCGTTTTTTCTAGCCAAAGGTGGTTGATTTGGTTTCAAAAAACTAAAGTAAGTAGAAGTAATGATAAATGACAAAAACTTGAAATCGTTAAAATAAATAAATTGATGTTTGAGTTTCTAACATCAAAAACAGCGTAATAAAAGTCCGGCGCAATTTTCTCGAAATTACGAATGATTGGGCTTTGCTAATATACCTCTTCACCGAGGGGTTGGAAATTCGGCTAATCGCATCAAGAGGCTGGAAGTGCTCCACTGGAGTCCCGGGATGACCAAAAATACTAGTCATACAATTTCCATATATGGAAAAATGCTAGTCATACACTTTTCATGCAATTCCATACGTACAGAAAATTGCATGAAAGGTCTATGATTAGTATTTTTTTCATATATGGAAATGTATGACTAGCATTTTTCCATAAACCAAAAATATTGATTTTTTACATTTTAATTTCTCTAAATTTTTTGGTTGTGTTCGTAACCGAACACAAATGACATAAACCTTGATTACTCAAACGTAGTAACCAACGGTTTGGCCTTCTCGCATTGAAAATGCATTGGAAACAGCCTGATATGTGTTACTTCTGTCTCAGACAAACAATATAACGAAAGTAATGAACTTTTAAATTTTGGCAATAATTTCAAAAATGATTTTTTTCTAAAATTTGAATTTTTAAATTACCAAACATTGATCAAGGCATTCAAAAACATGTCATACAAAAGAACTAGGAGTTTTAAGCGTTTTTGAAAAAAGTTATGAAGAGAAAAGAAAAAAAATCCAATATTAGTATATCCAGGACTATGTTATGCACACAAAAAAATAAATTTTGCATGCAAAATTTTTTTTCCAAAAAATGTTTGTTTGAATACGAAAATCAATTTGCGGTTGAAAAAAAAACATTTTTGGGGGCAATTTCAAAAATACTTAGAAAAATTTTTGTCGTCGCCATCAAAAAAATGCTAGTCATACAATTTCCATATATGGAAATTGTATGACTAGTGTTTTTTTCAGAAAACAAAAATAAAAAAGTCAAAGTTTTCAGTCGTAGCAGCCCAAAAAACGCTTAAATGCTTTGCCAGCAGTTGAATTGATTGTTCAAAGCTTTTTTTTTCAGAAAAATTTTTTTTTTGAAAAAATTCTAATCATACAATTTCCATATATGGAAATTGTATGGTTAGCATTTTTTTTTCATACCATTTTTTTCCTCTTATTTATGAGGAGACACCAATTTCGATACCAAAACAACTATAAAATTCCTTTAAAATTCGATTAAACTCATTTTGCAAAAATGCATGATATTTGTATGACTAGCATTTTTCCATAGACTAAGTGTATGAAATTGTATGAGTAGCATTTTCGGTCTATGGAGGTCAACCCGGGGTATCGACCGTATGGGTCGACCATTATTTTCTCTTGACTTTTTGAGTCGCACAATGTCCGCTTTCGATCCTGATTAAGTTTCAGTTTAAATTGAGGAAACATGGGGGTCAAAAGTTTTTGCTTTTGCAGCAGCCCAGACTGTAAAACTAGTTTCTTAAAGCACTATTTTGACTATAGATGTTGAGCGTGAGCCATGATGGAGTCAATAACGTTGAGAGCGGAGCGCGCATCGAAAAAACGCAGTTGAACTTTTTTGACACACTTTCTTTCAAATAACCCGTGGCGTAAAACAGAATGCCTACTTTGCCTTTTATGGCGTTCGAGTGAGCTAGAAATTTTGTTGTCATTTTTGAAGGAAAAAATTGACCATATTTTCAAAAACTTTGCAAAAATCCTCCATGATATAACAATAGATCCACCCCTGAACTATTTTTAAATTAAACGAGGCAAAAAATTGACTGAAAAATCCCCTCGCGAGGGTTGTGTATATTTTAGGCGGTGGCCAGTCAATAAGCAGAATGGTCTAACAGCAGAAAGGGTCCAAGAGCAGAAAACCTGAAAAATATCAACTTTTTTCAGCTAATCGGTAAATTAATTATCAAAAATGTCAATAATACCAGAGCAACGAACAATTTATGCATAGTTTGAGTAATTTAATCCAGAATTTTTTAAAAATTTAATATATAACTCAATGAAAATATTCAATTCATGCTTAATTTTTTCATTTTCGTGGTAGTTTTTGACGATTCTAATAATTGTTTTATCAATTAGCCCGTATGAACTAACTTAAGTCAATATTTTTCTGTTTTTCTGCTCAAGGACCCATTCTACAGTTGGACCATTCTGCTTATTGCTCCGCCTCCATTTTAGGCAACAGTATATTGTAATAAATAAATAAAGTAAAAAATGTATAATACGAAAAACTAAGAAATTCTTTTCATTTAAAAATAAATACAGCCTGATTTAAAAAATTTTAGATAAAATGATAAAACATCTTGACCAATAAGTTTGAATTGTTACAGGGGCGGAGCCAAGGTTTTCTCGAAAGGGGGGGGGGGATTTCAAAAACTTTTGTCGACAGACCACATTTTGCGAAAAAAAACTTTCTGCGTTTTGAGACTTTTTTGAAAAATTTTGATCAAAAAATTGCGCTTTTTTGGGCGCGCGCTCCGCCCTCGAAATTAGTCATATTAGCACCTAAGGCGCCTTTAGAGAAACTTTGAGGTTGTTCGGCGAAAAATTGATGTCATAAAGCTATACCAAATGGAAGGACCCTTTGGAAAAATTTGGCAACCAAAATGAGGAAGGGGCGAAGAGGCGATAATTGGAATGAAATTTTTGTGGTGAATCCGAAGCGAAAACATATAAACCTCTGATCTCTTTTCGTGTACAAAAAAGGTCAACCAAGTGTTCTTTTTCGTCTCCTGTACTTATTTGATAAAAAATTTAAGTATGGGAGACGACAGACAAAACTTTTAAATCTAGCTACTGACACAAGTTTGACTAGTTTAATGAATTACAATCCATCTCACTTTAGCCATAATTTTCAGCTACTGAAAAAAATCTACCAAAATGTTTTATAAAACAAAAACACCACACGGAAAGTACAAAAACTATATCTGTAATTCAATGTGGTCTTCCAATTTGACAACTGATTTCACAAACTAGTCATATGGCCAATTATTAGACTTTTAAAAATTGTGGTAGGTCCGGATTGACAGTGTATTGCCCTCAATAGAGCTCCATGGACAAAAATTGATTAAGTTTGAGTTTTATTGTCAGTGTCTATAAAATTGAAAACTGATCGATTTAACCAATTAATTAAAAATGGATTATTTAGCTGTTATTTAATAAAACATTTGAGGCTAAAAGTTTCCAAAAATGGAGTTTTTGGCCTCTATAAGAATGACCAAAAAAACTTTGTCGAAACGTCTGGGGGAGAGAGGAGGCCAAACATCTTACCAAACAGAAAAAGAGACAAACGTTGAAGGAGGGAATGGAATCGTTTCGCAATTTGAGAAAGTTTAGGATTAGAAATCGAGCAGGCCGCACACCCTTTTTGCAAAAGTTTTACATTACTCATTTGATAAAAACAGATGCTCTTGTAAGTTTTAATACAGAGGGCGTCTTCTGAATTGTTTTCATCTCAAATAATTTCCTCCTCCCTATTAACCAAAACTTAAAATTACAAAAAATTTATTAGAAAAGGAACTATTATAGAAAAAACATGGATCTAGCGAGCTGTAGAGAGTAGAGTTTTCAAAGAAGCAATTGTTGTCAAATGTTTTGGGCCCAAAAAAGATGATTTTTTGACAAAATCAAATTGCAATTGATTATAACCAATTTTGATACTGGCTTTTCACTTAAAATCTCAAAAATAAAATAAAAATTTTCGAAACATTTATTTCTGTTTTTAGTCCGAAAAACAAAAAAATAAATGCACTCAAGAAAAATCTCTCTCAGAGTTTGAATAAGTTTTTGAAGCCGAAGAGCTCGCGCGGTGAATACAAATGATTTTAAGCAAAACTTCTCTAAATACCAGCTCTAAGGTCAACCTTCTTAGCGTGTTTTGATTTTACAATGTTTATGTAAATCATGTGTGATTTATAAATTATATGTAAATTAAAATATGTTTTGATTTATATATCATTTGAGGATCATAGAAAAACAGTTATCTTTGCTTCAAAAAACTCGTTTGTCACTGATACTGATTGCAATAGTTTCTTTTCAAGTGAAACATTAGCATTTAAAAAAGTGAAAATCACACATAAGAATTTCGTCTTTGTTTCACTCATATAATTTGTTATGCGTGAAAGCTGAGAAAATCAAAAAGTAATCTGTATATAATGTTTAATTAGTCAGTATAAAGTCTGTAAATACAAAATCGCAATAATCACGTGCAAAAACAGTTTTGCGAATGCAGATATGTTTTCCTGAACCACCAAACACACCCTAATTTACAAAAACAATAAGTTGCAAATTTAAATTTAGAAAAAAAAAGATAAAAGTTTGGCACCTCGCTTCTCAAAACTAAATTGCCATGACTGCCAAGAAGCCTTTGCAAAAATTCAAAGGCTGGTCAGCAGAAAATTAGTGTCGCAAATTAAAACCAAAAATACACTTACTCAATGTTTACCCACTGAAATAAAAACGATGTCATCTGAATTATTTTCCAAGATCAGCTTTAATTCCAGCGAGTTATCATGACAAAACCTTGGAAACTGTTCTTCCTGCTCCAGGAAAACTTAAATTAGCTAAAATCAGAACATAGTATTTTTTTCTATCTTGATTTATTATAATTACTTTTACGTTTCTTTCATGTAAAACTTCAAAATTGTTGAGTCTATAGCTGTTTTTGAAATGTGATGATGATAAATGATAGTAAAATTTTGTTTCATTAAATAATTATAGAACTTCAGAAAACTTAAGGTGCTAAATATGGTCTAATGACGAGATATCAGCAGTTTGTTTGAGTATAGATGGCACCACTGAAGAAATTTTGAAGGGACATCGAATATAACTTGTCCACTGATGGTCGTATACGCTAGCCACTAGAATAAATCAAACAAGCATATGGGTGCCAGAAATTTATGAACAATCTTTTTGAATCTTCGATTCTTTATCAAAACTTCTTTATCAAATATAAGTTCTTGTAGGAAATAAGTAGTGTCGATAGAAATTATATTTGAGCTGGAAGAATTAAATAAAAAATACACACTTTGAGACTGATAATGCATCATGAAATTTCCATTTTTAAACTGATTTTGTCATATAAACAGGTAGATATAATTAGTTTGATGCTGGAAAAAGTAGTTTGAGTCACGTACGTTCACTAGTTGAAGAGCAGCCGTTAGGCACATGTCTCTCAACACGAGGGTCATGCGTTCGAATCCCGCTTCGTTCATGGCTGGAGCCCCCACGGTTGGCCCTGCACTGAGCAGGCCGGGGGCTAATAAAAAAAACTAGTTTAATTAGGATAGAGGGTCGCACACCGAGCTAAACAAGTTATGAACTGTTGCAGTAGCGCATAGCTTATTTACAAGAGTGCAAAACTTCGACTGCTCCCAAAAAAATTTTTCATCGTTTTATGATTATGGAGACTCCCAACTCCCAAACGATAGCAAATTGTTAAATATGAAATCAACTTCCTACAACTTGAAAACTTTCTCTTCCAATTTAGACTAATTCTAAAAACAAAAGTTAAACCTACTATTTAAAACAAACTATTCAAAGTTCAAATAAGTTTGAGGTTTTTTTTGCTGAGTTTTTGAACAAAAAACATTATGATAAAATTTCCTGAAAGAGTTTATCGTTTAACCTCACAACTTAAAACTAAAATTTTAAAGAACAAACCTCCTGACCTCATTTAACGTTAGAGTTTTTTCACAAAGCGCGGCTTCCCGATTTTGTTCGAATTCAGATTCAGTCAAATAAATAATAGAAATTTTTGTGTCAGGAAGAAAAATAGAAAAAAAACAGATTCAGCGGCAAAAATAACAATGGAAAGCTGAGACGCAAAAGATATAGAGGAAGAAAATGAAGAAAAAGCAATGTATGGGCTAAATTGCGAGCATAATAGGGCATATTCAGGGAAGAGACGAAAGCGACATGTATTATTAAGGACTGACCATCTAGCATTGAAGCTAGAGCTATGCGTGCGTAAATACGCCTTATTTTAACCTGATAGCAGACAAAAAAATATTTCTGAGGGTATTAAATGCCCAGATTTTTCAACTGTAATGTATGCAAATGACAAAGAGAGTTTTTTGAGTCTAACATTAGCCAGACTTGAAATTATAATCAAATCTGGCGAATTAAAATTTATGTGAAGCGGATTATAAAATGAGACAGAAAAGCGAACCTTAAGATTAGTTATTATTGCTCTTACCTTGTGCAGACTTCTGCGAAAGGTAATTTCCATTAAATCTGATGAGGAGGAAAAAAAGTCCAACAAAAATGCTCTTCTCCTGATCTTCGTTTCAAACTAAAAATAAATAAATTATGCAACCAACTAATGCGGCGAGGTATTCATTAGAAGGAAACAAGTTTTGATTGATAAGTTTTTTTTTAATACTGATACTATACTTGATTCACCAGATAGCAGCTTAGAATTGGGCGCTGTTATCGCATTTTGGGGTAAATTTAGTTTAGTCGGGGTTTTATTAAAACAATGCCTGAAATAAATTGAGGCTGAAAAGGGAGTTTGATAAGTGAAATTTTTCAATGACTGAGGCTGCGTCAATTTATATTAGGCAAATTTAGGGAGGAATATTTTCAATCCAAACCAGGAAAAACCACAAAGCGGTAGAATTTAACACGAGTTAAGAGGTGAAGGGGTAATTCTTCGGGGAAATTGGAGGCTGAGTATTTGGGAGGAAAAATTGCCTTGGGAGCAACAAAATGGGCCTGAGCATTGCCTGCTTGTGTGATCGCCCTATTGGTGTATAGGGTATATAAAAGGGTAAACGGGTATTAAATATTTATCCATTTTCGACTTCATTCACGCCATTTTCACATTCATTCAGTCGAAAAAAATTTTTCGTGTTCAAAAAATTGTGAATAATTTTCAATTTCCAAATCTTCTCATAAAACTTGCTTAAGTTTGTTAATTACTTGGTTAATTAATTTTTTCATGAAATTTTAAAATTAGTCATTCTCGTTTAAGCATATTTTTTGACAATATACCATGAGCATGTTATGCTGAATGAGCTATTAATTCAAAGGTCACTCGGACTATGTGGGCTTATCTTTCGATTTACAGGCAGGAAGGAACGCGGGAAGCGAAAAAGGAAACTGTTCAAAGTCTGACTTAACTCATCACTGTAGTCTTTTTATCCTTCTTCGTTACAGGTAAATAATAAATCACAGAACCAAACTGCCGTGGGAAGGACGTAAGATAAGTTAGGTGGAAACAGGGCTGATGAAGATGGATGGGTAGCCTCGCAGGCAAAGAAAGCAGCAGGGTAATAATTAATTATCAGGGTTGGTCCAATAAGTCCAACGGCATGAATGCTGAGAACAACGGCAGCACTGACTCGAAAATACAACCGAATAAATGAAGGCTGACTTTATCAAAATCATGCAGTCGAAATTGTTTTTAGCCGTACACGAAAAACTCATCAAATACAAGAGAAAGGCGAACGTAGTAAAATAAATATAAAGCCGATATTTTAACACTTTCTGGAAAAACTAGACCAACACGAATCGAGAAGTTTCAGTTTTGAGCTGAGAAAACTTGGAAACCACGTAATAAGAAACCAAAAAATTGTTGAGAATTTGTTTTGAACAAAAAAAAGAAACAAACTTTAAGAACACTATTTGATCTAATTTTTACCATACAATTGTTCTCCATACTTCAATTGTGAATTTTTGTAAAATTTTTGAAATTTTGTTGAAATTCAAATCGACTCCACGCGTTTCTAAGAACAACTGACCATGAAAACATTACTAGCTAAGTCAGGTTCCTATTCTAATTGCGTCAATAAGTTATTAGATTGACTACTTATTATTTTGGAGGAAAATTGGATTTTTGGGGGATGTTATGAGAGATATCTTTGCATAGTATTCTGCACCTATTTCGGAAAAAAAACACCAAGCGACAATTTTGAAAAAAAGACCGAACATAGACTTAAGGAAAATAACGACCAGAGACTTCTGGACAGAGTTGGAAACCTTGTTTGTCACGGAGAAAATCTAATTTGCTAAACCCAAAAGAAAACTTAAACATGAGCAACTCAAGGAAGATTGAGCAAAAAAAGCGTCGAAAGCAGACTGCGGGGACCGAAAAGAGGAGAGTGCTTGTGATATGTTTAGGGCATAAATGCAAAAAAAATTATATCAGAAGAATGATTGGCATGAACATGGACGCCGAGAGAAACCTATGAAAATGCGACAGGACGAGAGACCGGAGTTGAAAACAATATGTCAGTAAAGCACCAGAGTCAGGGAAACGCAAGCTCGTCAAGCCATGTACAATCGAGCAAAAACCGATGGGATTCGTTCACAAGAGAAAACAATTCATTGTTCGGAAAAGATTGGGGAAGAAGAAAAACCAATTTTAGTTGGTGAACCAAAAAAACAGCGTGGCAAGAGTTACCAAAGAGAGACAAAACGATGCTACAAGGGCGGAAAAACAGTTTTGGGGTTTTTAGAAGCAAGTCCAGGAAAAGCAAAATCCGCTCAAAACAAAACGCGGAGGGTTGGGACATTTCCAAAAAGTGTCTCAAATTTCCAATGTCACTCATGTCAAAGAATAAAGCGAAGAATTGGAAGAACAACAAACGCACTCCCAAGAACCTGGAATCATTTGCATCCGCGTAGTTCACATTCCCAAACAATCCAGGAAGACAACTTCGCAGTTATTAGCAGTTCCCCTGCAGCTAAAGCTGCTCCTAAAAAATGGCATATTTTATCTCTAGTAAAAAAAATAGGCCAGATGAACTGATGGGTGCTTAGCTAGTTGTAAGGATAGCTGGATGGATCAATGGAACTTTCAAACAGTGGCTGGATGATTGAAAGTATGGATTGAAGGCACGATGGAAAGCTAGATAGACGCATGGATGGCTGTATAGATGGATGGCTAGACTGCTATTTGGACGGATAGTTGTTGGGATCGATGGCTTGATCGATGGTCAGCTGAATTGGCGAGAGATGGATAGATGGATTGATGGCTGGTTGGTTGACATTTTTTTGGCTAGACATTTTTTTGGCTGAAATTTGACTGGCTAGAGGGCTAGATTGATGGATGACCAATTGGTTAGAATACTACATGGATGGATATATGACTGGCTGGATGGCTAGA